GGGATGGTCATGCCACAATCCCTTCTCCTCCATTCTCCTCTCAGGATCTTGGGCACGTACACACACGTGCCCGGCATGAGTTTTAAGCCACTGGGTCCGGGACTTGAACCGTGGTCGACTACGTGGGAGTCCAGCGACATAGCCATTACGCTAACTGCTGATTCCCAAGGCAAGGGATATTAATAAACACTTGGCTTGAACCAGGCAGCAAGCCGGAGGTTGGGGAAAGGCAGGCATAAAAAGCATGCCTTCTTCTCTCATGATGGTGGACAGAGAATTGGGACATCTGTGACTGTGCTTGGCACCGTGCCAAAAGGGCACGGGGATGGGTTCCAACTCAGTCTGGGTGGCAGGAGGTGAGCCAGAGCTGAGACTTGAAGAATGAATGAGAGTTGGCCAGGTCTGAAGCAGAAGAAAGGGTGTCTGAGGCACAGGCAATAGCGCGTACAAAGGCCAGAAGACACATGAAGGCCCTCCAAAAGTTCATGGAAAATGTGTATTATGAAACAATTATGCATGTATTTAATTTTTTGCACCCAAATAAACTCATCCTTGAATTTCATGTTCCATGAGTTTTTGGAAATCCACCATACAAGGGCCTGTGAGGACAGCCACAGTTATTCTAGTTAAGGAAAATGACCAGAGATGAAGCCAGTGAGGAGAGCTCTGTCTACAAAGATGAGGATTTCTTACTGCACACCAGGGAGCTATCAAAAGGCTTACCTTATGGGGCCAGCTGGTGGCGTGGTTAAGTGTGCTGGACTCCCACATAGCCAACCGTTGTTCAAGTCCTAGACCTGGCGGCTTGCTTTCTCACTCACTCTCTGTCCCTCTCTAGGCAAGTAAATAAATAGAATTAACTAATTCTAAAAAAAAAAAAAAAAAAAAAAAAGGCTTACTTCACGTAAGACATCAAATCTGTGCTTTAAGAAGATCTTTTAGGCAACACTGAAGAGGATGACTGCAAAGTGGAGGGAGTATATGAGGAATGACGAGGGCTTCTCCTCTGGTTCTTACAGTTTAATGGAAAAACTAGACGTAGTCGTACTAGCATTAATTGTGCAAAGTGGTGGGTGAGCACAAGCACAATGGGGTGAGGGGAGCTCAAGAGGAGAAAGGAGTAGAAGTTGCACTGGTTGGGAGTGGGAGTGGGGTCAGTATAGGATCCGCTAATGGTTTGATAAAAGGAATAATGGAATTTTTCTATTCAATCTGACGAGGGGGACCAGCAGTTAGCGTAAGGTAGTCGACCGTGGTTCGCATCCCGAACCCGATGGCTTAAAACTCACGCTGGGCGCGTGTGCGTGCGTGCCCAAGATCCCGAGAGGAGCATGGAGGAGAAGGGATTGTGGCATGGCCATTTCCCCTGGGGGGAGATTTCTCACTTTCTATCTCTCTGTCTCTCTCTGTCTTTCCGGCGAGCACGCTTGCTCTATAGCAAAATCCTCTCAAAAAAAAAAAATAAATAAAATAAAAATCTGACTGAGATCACCAGAGACACACACAGATTAATATGGTTTTTAGAGATAAGACTTGCATTTCAGGCCAGCCCTGTGGTCTAGTAGTGAAGAAAACCAAAACCACGGCCAACCATAATTTGCGCCCTGGACTCTGCAGGTTGAAAAACACTCTGGGCACATGTGCCTGAGCACCCGAAATACCAGTAAGATGGAGAAGGAATTGCAGTGTGACCATGCCCCATGGAGGGTGGTTTCTTTCTTCCCTCTCTCCCTTTCTGTCTCTCTCTTAGGTGAACATGCACACTCTCTGGTTGTTTTTTTTTTTTTAAAGATTTAAGTTTCACTAAGTTGAATAAACCAAAAATCCTCTTTGGAAGGATGTGTTCCAAGTTTAGAACACCATGAAGGGATCAAACAGGCTAACTATGAATGGCCTGCTAAATGCTGGAACTCTAGAACTGGGGGGCACCTGTTAAAGTTCAGATAAAAGCAGAGAGCATGGAGTTGTCATACTGATTTCCTACAGTACTACTTCATCCCATTACCCCAGGCTCAAAGCCCCTTCAGACGTTTCCCACTGTCACAGGTAGGGGCGAAACATTTTTCCTGTCTGCAGCATGACTTGCTCAGCATCTAGCTCCCTCTTCCTCTACTGCAGAAACCTCCTGCTTTAGTTAAGAGGAATCACACAGAATGCCTCCTGGGCTCACCTACACATTTCAACTTTGCCTCTCTGCTGCCAGGAATGCCTCTCTGTACATCTTTATCCTTGTACTCAAAGTCCAGCTGAAATCCCATCTCTTCTGGGAAGTCTTCATCATCATAATTAGAAGGGTCTGCTCAAGTGACTCCTGAGGTTAAAAATCCTCCAATGGCTCTCCACCACCTGCAAAATGAAGTCCAAGCTTCTTAGCCTAACTTGGCCACAGTCTATCTCTCTGGCTCCTCATTCTTTGTCATTTTGGGAATCATGTTCTAGTCGTATCAAACTACTCATAGTTTCCTTGCACGCTATGTCTGCTTTTGCTTATGTTGTTTCCTTCTCTCGGGATGCTCTTCCCTTTGGGTTTACCTTTACGTAATCAGTTCAGGTATCACCCCTGGAATTTCCAAACGAGGCTGAGTCTCTCTGTCATCCCATAGTTTCCAATTGACCTCTACCCCACACTCACCACATGGTATTCTAATTATATGTGGAGATGTTTCTCTCCACATACTAAAGAACTTCTATGGGGGACCAGCAGTTAGCGTAATGGCTATGTCACTGGACTCCCACGTAGTTGACTGTGGTTCGTGTCCTGGACCTGGTGGCTTAAACTCATGCCAGGCGCATGTACGTGCGTGCCCAAGATCCTGAGAAGAGAATGGAGGAGAAGGGATTGTGGCGTGGCCATCCCCCCTTGGGGAGGGGAATTTCTCGCTTTCTGTCTCTCTGTCTCTCTCTGCCTTTCTGGTGAGCACACGCGCCCTATAGCAAAAACCTCTCAAAAAATAATAAAATAAAATAAAGAACTTCTATGGGAAGACAGGGCCTTACTCATCTTTGTGCCACCACACTTGCATTATGCCTTGTATGAGCTCAACAAATGCATGAGGGTCTTCAGAAAGTTCATGAACAATGTGTATTACATTAAAAATTATTTATGGAGGGACCGGCAGTTAGCGTAATGGCTATGTCACTGGACTCCCACGTAGTTGACTGTGGTTCGTGTCCTGGACCTGGTGGCTTAAACTCATGCCAGGCGCATGTACGTGCGTGCCCAAGATCCTGACAGGAGAATGGAGGAGAAGGGATTGCAGCGTGGCCATCCCCCCTGGAGGGTGATTTCTCGCTTTCTGTCTCTCTGTCTCTGTCTTTCTGGCGAGCATGCTCGCCCTATAGCAAAAACTTTTCCAAAAAAAAAAAAAATAGAAAAATTATTCATGGATTTCAAAACTTTCTTGCACCAGAAAAACGTATAGTTTAATTCCATTTTTCCACAAACTCTTTGAAGACCCTATAATGATAGAATGACTTATGGGATGAGACCACTGGACTAATAAGCCAGCTGGATTCTGGTGAGCCTAGAAAACAGATCTAACAGAATAAAGGAAAGTTTAGGGGGCAAGTCATTCCCTAGAGAATATCAGCAGTGTAGACCAATTGTCCAAATGATTCAGCCATAGGGGAAAATGAAGAAGTTGGATGGAAGTTAAAAGATGGAGTTTTCTTCTCTTTAGAGGAAAGCCTGTGTAAAGTCCTTGGAAACTGAGAGGCAAAGGTAAGATCTTCTTCTGGATTTCAATATCCTTTTCTGCCTTACCCACCTCACAGCAATGCTATAAATTACAAAAGAAAACAATATAAGAATTCACAAGAATTCTTTGAGAATTTTTAAATGTTATATCCAAACTGATGGCTTTCTATAGAACAAAATCTATCAAAAATCTAACCCTGACATTTAAGATTCCCCCATGATATTCTAACTTTCCTTCTAATACTATTAATGACTCCCAAAGCCCCTAAATCCAGCCACAGAAGATCCATGTTCTTTCTCCCTGTTTGCCTTTGTTCAAGCAATTCCCTCAGCCTCAAATGCTCTGTCCTTCATCTCTATCAGGCCAATACAGTAAACGTTTACAGAATGGTTAGTATAGGCAAGACACTGTTGATTAAAACTCTATTAATAATTCTTGAAGGACCTAGTCATGTACTCTTTAATACTTTGTATCAGAAGAATAAATGGAAAAATTAATGTTAGTGTACATGGGTGGACAGTCTTTGGGACACTAATCTGGGTGGGATCCAGGATACAGGAAAATAGAAGCATCAACTTGTCAAAGGAAGAGGACTATCTCCTCCCCTGGAAGGAACTGCAGATAAGTCGCGGAGGGTGGAAACGGTATAGGACTATGCAGAAAGGCTTAAGTGTTCAAATCCTTCAAGTCTCAACTCGAATGTCCTCCACCCCCTTAAGCTTTGCCTAGATCTATCAGAGACGATCCCAGCTTTGCTCGGTCTCAGAATCCCTGTGGATTTTCCACCTTTTAGAATGTTTATTTGTACACGTATCTTATTTCTTTCCTTACATCCCGGCTTCCTTGAGGGCAGAAGGAATCCGGTTCTTCCTCCATCCGAGGCAGGGGCGGGCGGACAAGTGAACAGACAAATTCGACACAAACGGGGCTTGCGCCAGGGAATCCAGTGAAGAGCGCAACCTCCAGATTCACAATTTAACGGCTTAAAGCAAAGTCAAGCAAGAACTTTCCCACGCTCCCTGCGGCAGGGAAGAGCAGTTGTCGGCCGGCTGGCCTTCAGCCTGGCTCTGAGGCCCTCCCGCCGCGCTCCGTGGCTGTCCCCTTCAGTGCCTGACTCCATTCTGACACTAACCGTGGGCAAAAACCACCTTCTTTTGTTGCATGTGAGGACGAGCCTCTGGGTGCACTTATCCTTTCTTTTCTGTTTTGGTTTCTCCTTTCCCTTCTCTGATTTCGCAACCACTGTCCCCAGGCGCCTATGCGGGCAGCCCTAGCCGACAAGGGAGGGAGGGTCCTGAGACCGGAAACCGGAAGGCGGAAGGGGGGCTGTGAGGACGTGTTCGAGAAAGCCAGAGCCCGAGCCGGCGGGGCCGGCGTTATGGAACCGCTATACCAGCAAACGCACAAGTGAGGGCCGGGTCGGGTAGCGGGCGGGAGCTAGGCGAGGCCGGCCCCTGGCTGGGGCGTCCGGTGTCCGCCCATATAGAAGCCGAGTCCTTCTGCTTGGCACTGCCGCGGGCGGCTCGGAAGTGCTCGGTCTGTGACCGGATGCCTATGTCAGAAGCGGATGAGGGTCCGGCTTGGGCCCAGAGACGTTGAGCCAGATGGCTTCAGGGGTCTGCCAAGTCCGTGACGACCTGCTGGATAGACTGGGTGAAGGAAAAGCCACCCACTTGCAGATTATAATCCTTTGTCCAGCACCTGTCAGTTCAGTGCTCCGGGTTGGTAGGGCCCGGTGGGAGACCTGGCTCCTGCCCTTGGGAGTCGTCCGTTTAGTTGGAGAATAAAGGCACGTACGAAAAAAGCATTTTTAACCGATTTGATTTATACTGAAGACAAGATTCCTGGTACAAAGAAATAGCTGTACAGTAGCATTTACTGTTATTACTTGTGAGTTGTATCTGGTTACAGGTTACCCTTAAATGATAGAGTTTTGGTGTATAGTTTCTCATAACTGAAATTCCTTCGCAGTGCCTTTTATTGTACTGCCTTTTTTGAAAGTTGCTGAAATACGTCGTTAGGCTTGGTAATAGGGACTATACCTATCCTGTTTTGTTAGGAAAAAAATTATGATGTCTTTCTTATTGTGGTAGATTATACATAACAAAATTTACCGTTTCAGCCATTACTAAATGTACAATTCAGTGACATGAAGTATATTTGCAATTCACATCAGCAGTGTCTGTTTCCCATTCCACCCTTCTAGAACCCCTGAACCGGTGTTCTGTTTTCTATGAATTTACCTATTCTGAATAGCTCAGAGAAGTAGAATCATATAATATTCATTACTTTTGTTTCTGTCTTATTTTACCTAGCATGTTTTCAAGGTTTATCTGTATGGTGCCACATACCAGAATCACATTTCTTCTAATGACAATATTACTACTATTCCGTTGTAGCCTATACAACTCTTTGTAACCCACCCATCTATTGTTGGGCACTTGGGTTGCTACCACCTTTTGGCTATTGAGAATAATGTTGCCACAAACGTTGGTGTACAAGTGTGTTTTAGTCAGTTTACATTCTTTTGAGGTATATACCTTTACCTATCTTCTGAAACTTTCAAATTTATGCTATAGTTTTGGTCTGATAAAAATCACACCAGCAGGGACCAGCAGTTAGCATAATGGCTATGTCACTGGACTCCCATGTAGTCGACCGCGGTTCGAGTCCTGGACCCGGTGGCTTAAACTCACGCTGGGCACATGTGCGTGCGTGCCCAAGATCCTGAGAGGAGAATGGAGGAGAAGGGATGCAGCATGGCCATCCCCCCTGGGGGTTGATTTCTCGCTGTCTCTCTGTCTCTCTCTGTCTTTCTGGTGAGCGCACGCGCCCTATAGCGAAAATCTCTCCAAAAAAAAAAAAAAAAATCACACCACCAGGGCCTAGAAATGAAATAAAATAATAGTCATCTCACCTCCCTAATTAATTCACAACAAAAGAAATGTTTTGGGACACTAGAAATAAGGAGGAAGATCATCCTTCTCTTTCTTTTCTGAGTTTATGGATTTCTTTTTACTTTGGGAACAAATTGTTTGATTGGGGGTGGGTAATAATACAGAATCTATCTTGTAATGACAGAATTTGCTTTTACATTAGGAATCTTTATTTTCATATAAATATTATAGGACGAGGCTCTAAAAACTAGTCTGAGACCTTTGGAAAAGGAATGAAACGGAAAGTTATTCTTGTATTACTAAGAAAGGGCAGACATTTACAATAGCAAGGCACAGTGGGCTTCATAGTGCCTTGAGGTTAGTCTGTTATACATGGTCTCATCTGGTTAATTCGTTTAAAGGATGTTGCTAGGGAGGCTGTTGCCCAGTTTTCAAGTGTAATTTTGTCGAGTCTCTGACCATAGTTGTTATCAGTGCCGCAGGTAGCTGATCGCAGGAAAATCTGGGCAGCTCAGAAGAGGAATACCAGTTGGCATCCCAGACAAGATTTAGGGATTGTAGATGAACTACTTGCCTTTGCAGCCCTACTGCAACTCTCCCTAAGACTCTAGCAGGGTTTATTAACTTTTTCTATCAAGGGTCAGAGAGTAACTATTTTAGGCTCTGCCACTCATACCGTCTCTGTGACAACTACTCAACTCTGCTATTGTAGAGTGAAAGCAGCCTTAGACAATATGTAAATGAACTGATGTGCCTGTGTTCTAAAATTTCATTTATCAAAATAAGTGGTGGGACAGTTTTGCCCCGCAACTCTTAGGAGTCACCCATTCATTCAGTGAATATTCAAGTGCCTGCTATGTGTAGGGTACCATTGTCAGTACTGGCAGTGCATCCCTGCCCTCGGGAGTTTACCTAGCTCATGATGTAGCATATTTTGATCTGCCTTTTCTCTGGAGTAGTAAACCAGCGTTGGGAGTTCTGAGGCTTCTCTTGCTTTGTTTTCATTTGTAAGATGATAGTTTGGGGTGGTTAAGTCAGTCTCTTTTCAGCTCCATAATACTCCATAATACTGGTGACTGAGTGTCTTTAAAAGGAGACACATGGAGTCCTGTGCACACCAGCAATTAACTTTTGCAGCTGTAGAATTAAGAGTTGTAGCTGAATTGACACCAGCAGTAACTACACATTAATTTTACTGGAACTTTGAACTTGTGAATACTTCTTGCCACGTCCCTGAATGTACATTGGAATTAGATCAGCACTTTGAAGTTCTGTATCTTGAAAACTTTTTAACTACCTGAGCAATGAATGAATGAAAAGGAAAAGGACTAGAAGCAATAAACACTTTACTCTTAAATAAAATTTTATTAAGATGAACTTTATAGAGATACTAATAGCTAGTCTCCTTTTTATATTTTTTTCCTTCTTTTTTCCCTTTAAAGATTATTTGTTTCTAGAGAACCAGCAGTTAGCGTAATGGCTATGTTGCTGGACTCCCACGTAGCCAACCGCGGTTTGCGTCCTGGACCCGGTGGCTTAAAACTCACACCGGGCGCGTGTGCGTGCGTACCCAAGATCCCGAGAGGAGAATGGAGAAGAAGGGATTGTGGCGTGACCATCCTCCCAGGGGGTGATTTCTCGCTTTCTGTCTCTATGTCTCTCTATCTGTCTGGCGAGTGCATGCACCCTATAGCGAAAACCTCTCCAAAAAAAAAAAAAATTATTTGTTTCTTTTCATGAGAGAAAAAGAGAAAACTAAACTCTCTCAACAGGGTCTCATCCCATGATCCACCTCCCCTGCCTCTCTCAGACTGCTAGATCACAGGCACATGTGTACACCCGGCAGTTTATAATTATGTTCTTGTTTTTTGCTGTGTTAGGCTAAAATCTGTCATCTTGAAAGATTTCGGTTTTGAGACTCCCGTAAGGATTATCGGCAGAGAATAAGCTCATTTTCTTTCCTGTATGTCATCTTTAAATAGTAGAAGAGCTCCTGCTCCCACCCCCCACCCCCCACATTTTAGTGTTTTTGTTTTCTTCTTTTCCTAGAGGCTTATTATGACTAGCTCTTTGGACTCTCTTCTGACTTCTAACTTCAGAACTTTTCCCCAGTCATTCTATTAATCTTCTATTGGAGAAAACCTTTGATTGGTGGCTCCCAAAATTGAATGCCATTCTGTATTTGTGTGTTTATTCCCCCCCCAAGGCTTTTGCCTTAGGGTGCATGCACTAGCCAGAGAGAGACAGAGACAGTAAAAGGGAAAGTGAGAAATCACCACCCACCTTAGGAGGATGGCCACACTGCAATCCCTTCTCCTCCATTCTCCTCCCAGGATCTTGGGCATGCACGCGCGCGCACACACACACACACACACACGTGCGCACACACACACACGCGCACGCACACACACACACACACACACACACACACACACGCCCAGGATGAGTTTCAAGCCAATGGATCCAGGACTTGAACCATGGTCAGCCATGTGGGAGTCCAGCAACATAACCACTACAGTATCTGTAGGCTTCTGTATGCTTAACTTAAAAAAAAAAAAAAAGTTGTTAGAGAGCATGTGTGCTCACCAGAAAGAGAGAGAGAGACAGGAGAGGGAGAAAGCACACCCAATAGGGTGTGATCATGCCACAGTTCCTTCTCCATTTCTCCATACATGTGCTCGGCATATTTTTTTCAAGCCAAGTCAGGCACTCATACACCATGATCAGCCATATGAGATCAGACTTCCTTAACCACTAGTCCACGGGGTAAGCTCTGACCTCGTTTTTAGAAAAAATGAAAGACAAAATACTTTTTTTTTTTTTGGAGAACTTTTTGCTATAGGGTGCGTGCACTCACCAGTCAGAGAGAGACAGAGAGATAGAAAGCGAGAAATCACCCCCCAGGGGGGATGGTCACGCTGCAGTCCCTTCTCCTCCATTCTCCTCTCAGGATCTTGGGCATGCACACATGCCCGGCATGAGTTTTAAGCCACCGGGTCCGGGACGCAAACCGCGGTTGACTACGTGGGAGTCCAGCGACATAGCCATTACGCTAACTGCTGGTTCCCAAGACAAAATACTTTTCATCTTTGACACATTTCATCTGTTTAGCCTAAGTGAAACATTTTAATATTTGTTTTGTTAAACAGCATCCTAACCAGTTATAGCACTGAATCATGCATATTTCATAGGTGTAAGTTGATTTTTTTTTTAATTCACTAGAGGGTGTGTGCACTTACTTGGGGTGGGGGTGGGGTCAATGAGAAAGCATCCCCTGTGGAGGATGGTCATGCATAGGTTTATTTTATAAGAGTACTGAACAAAACATAGTCAAAGGCAGCCCTATGGTGGATTGCGAGAAATCTTCCCAAGCATTCTTTGGGTATCATTGTATCATTCTTTGGGTATCAAGCCTTCCTTGAACCCCTCAATCTGTAGTATTGTCAAGCCATAGTGTTTTTTTTGGGGGGGGAGAGATTTTCGCTATAGGGTGCGGGCGCTCGCCAGACA